TTCCCTTCCCCCAGAAACAAGGAGAAACAGCAAATTTGGAAATAGTGAGTTCATCCACTTTTCCCTAAATCTCGATCCTTCCCACCCTGATCAAACATGTAATCATTATAAAAGATAAAATTAAATTAAAAAGAAAAAAACGAATTCCATCCAGGTAATCAACACGGGCAGCAGGGGCTCAAGTACTTGGGCTATCGCCTGTTGCTTCCCAGGATGTGCACCAACAGGAAGCAGGGATGCAACTGTGATGTAGCAGTCTGAAGTTGCCACATAACCATCTGCACCAGTATACCTACAACTATAAACTACAAATCTACTTTGGCCAGAATGGTGGCTCAACATGCTAGTCCTATACCTGTAAGTGCTGGCAGACCATATGGACGCTGGTTTGTGTCCCTGTTGCTCTACTTCCCATCCAGCTCCCTGCTAATGGCCTGGGAAGGCAGTGGAGAATGGGCCGAGGTTTTGGGCTCCTGCCTCTACTTGGGAGGCCTGGAAGAAGCTCCTGGTTCCCAGCTTCAGATCAGCTTAGTCCTAGTTGTTGCAATCACTTGCAGAATGAACCAGCAGCTGAAAGAGCTCTCTCTGGCTCTCCTCACTCTGTAAAAAAAAAAAAAAAAAAATCTGTCTTTCAAATAAAAATAAGTAAAGTTAGGGCTCAGCATGGTAGCCTAGCTAAAGTCCTCACCTTGCCTTGCACATGCTGGGATCCCATATGGACGCTGGTTCATATCCCAGTGGCCCTGCTTCCCATCCAGCTCCCTGCCTGTGGCCTGGGAAAGCAGTCGAGGACGGCCCAAAGCCTTGGGACCCTGCATCCGCGTGCGAGTCCTGGAGGAAACTCCTGGCTCCTGGCTCCTGGCTTCTGGCTTTGGATCAGCTCCAGCTGCTATGGCCACTTGGGGAGTGAATCATCAGATGGAAGATCTTTCTCTCTGTATCTCCTTCTCTCTGTATATCTGACTTTCCAATAAAAGTAAATATACCTTTTTAAAAATCTTTTAAGTATATACATATGAATATATTAAAACATTTTATTTGGCAATTCAAAAGAGTGAGAGAGAGAACACTTTCCCCTTCACTGCTTCGTTTTCCCAAAGTCCAGGAGACAGGAATTTAACCTAGGTCTCTCAGGTGGGTGGCCAGCGTTTCGGCCATTGCCTGTTGCCCAGCAGAGTATGCATGACCTGGAAGCCAGAACTGAGAAGGAAGCACGACCCCAGGCAGCTCTATATGAGATGCAGGGGTCGTAGGAAGCATCTTCACCACTGTACAAAAGCTGACTTCACTGCAGCCAGTTACACCCAAGCACATAAACCCCTCTAATACTCCACCCTCTCAGCTGTTTTTCTTGCCAGACTATTAGAACATAAAGTTTAATTTAACTTTTTTAAGGATTATTTTTACTTGAAAGGCAGATTCACAGAGAAAGGAGGAGAGACAGAGAGAATCGTGTATCCATTACTTCACTCCCCAAGTAGTCACAATGGCTGGAACTGGAGAGGTCAGAAGCCAGGAGCTCAGAGCTTCCTCCAGGTCTCCCCAGGTGGGATGAGGAGCCTAAGGACTTGACCCATCTTTTGCTGTTTTCCCAGGCACATTAGTAGAGTGCTGGAACAGAAGCAGAGCAACTGGGACTTGAACTGGCGCCCCCATGGTAATCTGCAACTACAGGCAGAGGCGTTACTTAACACCACGCCTCTGAGGCCCACATCTGTATTTATTTATTTTTAAAATGTATTTAAAAAGCAGAGTTACAGAGAGAGGATGAGGAACAGAGATAGAGATCTTTCATGCACCGGTTCACTCTCCAAATGGATGGGGGGGCTAGACTGAAGCCAGGTGGGCTAGACTGAAGCCAGGAGCCAGGAGCCAGGAGCTTCTGGGTCTCTCATGTGGGTGCAGGGGCCCAAGCACTTTGGCCGTCTCTGCCTATTTTCCCAAGCTGTAGGAGGACATTGTGACCCTAGAAGGTCAGCGAGCACAGGATACAGTTGATTGGACAATATTTGCACAAGAACAACCTTTTGTATACCTGATTGGATACCATTTGTATAAGAACAGTTGAGTGGGGCCTGGCGGTGTGGCCTAGCAGCTAAAGTCCTTACCTTGAACGTGCCAGGATCCCATATGGGTGCTGGTTTGTATCTCGGCAGCTCCATTTCCCATCCAGCTCCCTGCTTGTGGCCTGGGAAAGCAGTGGAGCACGGCCCAAAGCCTTGGCACCCTGCACTCATGTGGGATACCTGGAAGAAGTTCCTGGCTCCTGGCTTCAGCATAGCACCGGCCGTTGCGCTCACTTGTGGAGTGAATCATTGGACAGAAGATCTTCCTCTCTGTCTCTGTCTCTCCTCCTCTCTGTATATCTGCCTTTCCAATAAATAACTAAATCTTAAAAAAAAAAAAAAAAAGAACAGTTGAATGGACATCATGTGTATGAGAACACTTGGTGGAATATACAAGACAAAAGGAGTTCCAAACAGAAGTATAGAAACAGTTGATGGGTTTTGTAGATACGCTCAATGCTTCCTCTCTTATCATATATGACCCTCAGTGTATAAAGTTTGATGCCACTAATAAACTTGGGCTTTGACCATCAGTCAAGAGTGTCTACGCGTGCTATGATCGGCTCCGTGCACCAAGTCCATCGCTGCAGGACAGCAACACCAAGCCATTAGCAGAATGGGAGGTGGGCCAGCTGGGTCTCCAACTGACTTACGTATGTAGCATTAACCTTCAATTCCACAATGTTGCCCCCTTAATTTGCATGTTTTAAATAATGACTTTAAGCACTTCTATTTACTAGGCATAATTTATGTTTGTTTTGTTTGTGTATGTATTCAAAAGGCAGAGTGACAGAGATCTTTCATCTTCTGGTTCACTCCACAAATGTTTGCAGCGGCTGGGGCTTGGCCAGGCAAAGGTCGGAGCCAGGCTCTCCGTCTGCAGCGTTGATGCAGATGGCAGGGGCCCAGGTACCCAAGCCACCCTGTACTGCCTCCCAGGCACATTCTCAGGAAGCTGGCTAGTAGGCCTGCAGTAGCCAAGACTTGAATGAGACATTCTGACCTGAGATGCAAGAGTCTTAAACAGTGCTTTAACATGTGGTGCCATAAATCCCACCCCTTGATTTTCAATCTTTAGACTCATCATATTCGTCTCTCTGTTGAAATTCTCCTCCAAGAAGATGATGAGACATTCATCACCATTTCCTTGTTCCCCACAGAAATGCCTGAAATGCACAACACTACAAAACAAGCAGCAGCAGCAACTCTCGGAAATCGGGCCCACTGTGAAGTGACATGGATAAAGAGAGGACAAACATTCTCTGGCTCACTCTGTAACAGTCACATTGGAGCCTCTGAGTCCTCCAGGGCATATGACCTTGCAAGGGAAATATTCAAGGCAAGGGCGTTAACAGTAGCTCAAGGAAGTAAGGTCTGAATTTTCCACAAACCACACCCAGACTCCAATATGCGGAAGTTTCCTGGGTTAGGTGCTACTCTGGGCTCCTAGAAAAGGATGTCGCTACAGGTAAACAAAGGAAGAAAAACAACAGCGACGAGAAGAGAAGCTGGCCGAGAACTGCAGGCTAAGCTGAATTAGGCTCTGAAGTGCCCCAGTTATTTTGCCCCCAGCCAAGAACTCTGTTCCTTGGGGCGGCTAAAGTCCTCGCCTTGAATGCCCGGGATCCTACATGGGCGCCAGTTCTAATCCTGGCAGCTCCACTTCCCATCCAGCTCCCTGCTTGTGGCCTGGGAAAGTAGTCAAGGATGGCCTAATGCTTTGGGATCCCTCACCCGCGTGGGAGACCTGGAGGAAGTTCCTGGCTCCTGGCTTTGGATCGGCACAGCACCAGCCGTTACGGTCATTTGGGGAGTGAATCATCGGACGGAAGATCTTCTTCTCTGTCTCTCCTCCTCTCTGTATATCTAACTTTGTAATAAAAAAAAATAAATCTTAAAAAAAAAAGAACAGTGCTCCTTATCACATGTTGCAGAAACAAAAAATATTCTCCTCTGTGTTCCTCTTCCCATTCCCCAGCTGCTTATTCACATGAAAAATAACACAACCACAAAGCTATCTTGCTCAATTTTCTTCCTCTTTGCTTTTAAAACCACACATCTCCTAGCAACCTAGTCTTGCACAGAGCACGCCTTAGTGGCCAGAGGAAAGGCTCCGTGCACTCAGCCAGTACAGAAAGCTAACCAGTGCTGACCCCTCCTCCCCAGCCAGCTATCCGCCTCACATCTCATTCTCATGGGCCCTGCTTGCAGTCTCACACTACGAAGAGTTAAGAGCCACAGGACTGCGGTCTTACTGGAGACTACAAAGTCCTCCTTCCCTTGGGATCATGTGTATCTTCCAAACGTGAAACTTGAAAAATACCCAAAACCAATGATGTGCAACCAAATCATTCATTGTGTCTTAGCTGGTGTCAGAATAAATGAAACCCAGCAAGCCTCCTTACAAACTTAACACAAAGTAGTCCTTTAATCTTCACACATGCAACAAGTAATTGCTGCATATTTCCTATGTCCCGGTCACACTCACAGGAACAGTGGCCAGTGGAGGCATGTTCAGCAGACTGTGACAAACTTGGCCACCTATTAACTTAATCACTGGTTTCATATTGGAAGGTAAGCAAATACAGTATGGATATTCCCATCATAATCTTCCACTATTCAACAGAACAATTGGGGGGAAAGTTGGTGGCAGTAGTACTGGTTTGGGGTAACTCAGAGGGCAGACCACAGTACGGTGTTAACTTGGCAGGCACCGTCAGAACATACCTGGAAAGCCCTCCTTCCAAGGCTGGCCAGTGAAACACCAACTCATTTTAACTTAGGGATTGGAAAGTTATTTCTTCATGGGGCTGAATTATGACTTCTCACACGAATCCCGAATTGACTGCCCATCCTGCGTGCCAGCTCTGGTTACATAGCTTTGCACAGCTCCCTGTGTCTTGTCTCAAAAAACTGTGAGTGTCACCTATATACCCAGCCTTGGTCCCGTTTTCAAAAGGACCTGGTCAGCATCAGATGTCTTTGCTGTCGGCTCAGGTCACACAACGGGTCAATAAGCTTTCATCCTGACCCCCCGCCCTCCCTGAGCCCTGTAGCAGCAAGCATTTGGGGATGAATGCCTAATACAAACCAAGACCCCAGGTTAGTGCGACCCCACTGTGGGTTCAGGGAAATAGTGAGCGGTAGAGGGGATTGGACCCTGGGAAGGTTGAGTCGGCAGTTGGAGAGAAAGGCGGAAGGCGGCAGAAGCGTGGGACCTGACGCCTGGCGGATGCCCGGGTGGGTGTCAGGGTGTGTGCGGGCGGGGAGACAGGCGGTGCTGCAGAGCCGTCCAGCTCTACCGACTCACCAGAGAGGTTGGGATGCGGCCAGGACCCGGCCCCGAAGAGCAGTTCCCGGTAGCGCTGGAAAGCCTGGTCCAGGACGGAGCAGCCCGGCTGCACGGCCGAGCTCGCATGGTAGCTGAACTGGAAGCTGTTCGGGTACAGGGTGTAGTGTCGGCTGGAGGTCTGGATGTACTGCGGCCAAGGCCACAGGGCCGCCGCCTGGCCAGCGAATGCAGCCGCCAGCAGCAGCCACAGCCACCGCCCGGAGCCGGCCATGGCCCGCCGGTGACCGCCCGAGCGGGCCAAGCTGCGCGAGCCCAGGTCAGGTGGACTGCGCCCACGTGAGGGACCAGCGCAGGGTCACGTGGCCGGGAGCCATCACGTGACTGGGCGCGCGTGGCGAGGGCCGCCGGCCACACTTCCGTGATCAGTTTGCTGCATTTTCGCTTCCTCTCTAGGCGCTAATGGGTAGGGGGGAGGACACTGGGTCCTAGCACCTAACGATCCTTCCCCGCGGGTGCCTGGCCTGCGTCTGGGTTAGCAGACATCGCCCTCTTGGGGATGCGAGAGAGACGTCGAGCGGAGGGGAAGTTTCCTTGCTGAGGACACCTGGCAAGTCCCAGGACAAAGGTGGAAGCCGCGTGTCACCTTGACCACAGAGGCCATAGGGCAAGGAGGGAGGGCAGTGGACCAAGGCTGAACTGTGGGCTTGGAGAGGAGTCGCTGGCTCACAGGCCCGGGACCCGTCTGTGTCTAGGGCCAACCTCAGATGTCAGCTATTCCCTCTCAACGGTTGGCTGCAGGTGGTCCTCTGGTTTCCGAGGTGCCAGGTGGAGGATGAAAGTGGGGTGGGCCCTCAGGAGCTCCATTCTCCTACAGAAATTTGATGGGTCAGAAGCTACTTGGCTGGGAGGGGGGTGAGAGTTAAAAATGGAAGGTGAAACAATGAATTGCAAATCCGTAAGTCTTGATCATGCCTACGAAGTTAGCAGCCCCAGAACCTGCCTGGTAATGGCCAGGCTATGAGAGCGTGCGTAGTTCAGTCCTGGCCTGCAAAAGGAAATAAAATCAGTACTGATACACAATTTGCTTGGCTAGTAGGTACTTTTCTAAAATTGTGACTTTGCATTTCAGTATGCAAACAACTGTGAAGATCAGGAAAAGAGCCTTGAGAATAAAGGGGCTTTTAAACTCACAATCTTACGTATTTAGGTTTTAGGTCCCTGAGTCAGTAAGGTAGATCCATAAAGACAGAATGTAGTAGAGGAAGCAGAATTTCCATCTGAATCAGAAGTTCATTTCTCCAGTACTTATATCTCAACTTTTATTAGCAGTGTGTGTGTGTGTGTGTGCATGCGCACATCTGGGTCTCTGTTGGCCATTGCAGAGTTTAGCCAGGTTCCCAAGGCAGAGGCTGCTCTGCGAATTATTACAGAGGAGCTAAGTTCATGGTCAACTCTGTAGGGTCAGTAGTTCAGGGAGGGTTCGAAGGTGATAGTGGAGTTCCAGGCACCCTCTCCTGGGAGTGGCAGCAGGGGAAAGGTGGACCCATATAAGGAGAATCACCTGGAGATGTTGGTAGAGGCTCTCTTCCAAGCGTGCTATTCCAGCCCTCCTCTCTGGCCTGCGTATCAGATAACCAGCAAGTTAATGAGTGACAGTTTGCATAATCCAAATCCAAATATTCAGAGCCTGGAATTTAAAAAAAAAAAAGTAATGGTGATTTAAATGAATAAAGGGTTATTGAGCCATATAAATTATTTGGATGGCTATAACCTTGGCAACAGTTTTGGCGGAAGATGACACAAATGACGAATGGTAATTGCTTGCTTGATAAATGAATAAAAGCATTCTATCCTCCAAACTTTTACTAAAAAGGAACTTAGCTATCTGAAAGAGAGTTCGCTGTTGGACTGTGTTTCTTTTCTTTTCTTTTTTTTTTAAAGATTCATTTATTTTTATTGCCAAGTCAGATATATAGAGAGGAAGATCTTCCATGAGATGATTCACTCCCCAAGTGAGCGCAACAGCTGTTGCCAGGCCGATACTATGCCAGTCCGAAGCCAGGATCCAGGAACTTCTTCCGGGTCTCCCACATGGGTGCAGGGTCCCAAGGGTTTGGGCCGTCCTCGACTGCTTTCCCAGGCCACAAGCAGGGAGCTGGATGGGAAATGGAGCTTCCGGGACTAGAATCGGCACACATATGGGATCCCGGGGCATTCAAGGCGAGGACTTTAGCCGCTAGGCCACGCCGCCAGGCCCTGAACTGTGTTTCAAGCTTTCATCTCATGAAGGAATCAGCACTACAGGAGCAGAGAGACGGGGTGACACGGTTCCCCTACTCCCTGAGGAAGTCCTCAACACCTTGTGTTCAAACAGTGACCTTTGACATGGCTCCACCAATAAGAGACAGCCAAGGCTAGTAGGAGACGCATGAGCAAAGCACCAAAATGTGAGAGAAGATAGCAGAGAGCTGGGATTTATGGGGACAGTAAAAGAGCAGGTGCCCCAGGCCCCTCATGGTCTGATCCTCTACAAGGCTCTTTTCTTCCCTGAAATGCCTTTTCCCACCTCCCAGTTCCACCACCTACTGGAAGGTCTAAATTCATAACTTGCCACCCAGGAAGTCTCTGGAGTTGTCAGAACTGGATAATCGCATAGTTGTCTAAACTTATCTCCATTCAGTGGCCTATCTCAGGGTATTGTAATTGCTTGTTTGCTTGCCTGCCTTCAGTTGCTAGAGGCAAATCCCTTAAGGTCAGGGGCAGTGGCCACGCTGTCACAGCAGTGAATGCCTGATAAAACTAAATGACTGCAAAGGGTTCCAAATACCTTTTCTTCTATTCAACTGTTGACTTTATCCTTTTGAGCTAAGCCTAGACCAGTCCAACAGGAATCCTATGAATGCAGTCCAAGCTGTTGAGATGGCCATCTCAGGCCTGGGTCAGCAGATGTCCTGGCCGGTCAGCTTCAGTGGAGAGCAGCAATCTGTGTGTGCCGTAATAGGAGAGACTAAGCTCTTGTTGAGAAGGACACCCTCCCAAGTGAACCTCCTTGTTAGTCGTTGCTCCCTGTGTGATGAAATGAGTGTCATCTTTCTTACCACTGCGCCTGACTGCCTAGCCCAGACCCCTCTGCACACAGTGTCGTCGGCCAAGTCTTTCTTTAATGAATACCTGGCATGAGGAGGTATTTGTGCTGAATTTTAAAGAGAGGAAAAGAGCGATGTAGAGAAGGACCGCAATCTGGGTGGAGAGCCCCAACTTCTCCATGGTAGAGAGCCATGTTCTGAAAGAGTGCCTGGCACGTGGCAGACTGGAGCCTATGTTCCAATGAAGCTTTCTGGATGAAGAGAATGAAATGGCAAGTGAAGTAAGATAGAGCTTTCTGTAGAAACCAGGAAGAGAACGCCGATCTAAACAGTAGCAGAAAGTGGGTTGAGCTAAGCTATCAAAGAGAAGAGAATGTTCTGAGGGAGGCACTGGCAAGCATAGGTTATTGCATTTTTCTCCCTAAGAATGGATTTTGCAGCTGAGGAAACTGGCTTGAGAATGAAAAATTTCTTGGGGTGGGCCATTTGTGATATTATCATCCCATATCTTTTTTTTTTTTTATTTGGTGGCTGCTGTTGTGCTGCATTTGGTTTTAGTCTGGTTTTAGTCTTGTCTATTTCCAACTCAGCTCCCTGCTGATGTATCTGATGAAAGCATTGGAAAGTGGCCCAACTGCTTGGAACCCTGCCACCTGTGTGCGGAATAGTCAGCTCCAGCCTGGGCCAGCCCCCAAACTGGACTAGCCCCAAAACTAGTAAACCAGCAGATGGAAAATTTCTCTCTCTGTTTCTTTTTGTTTCTGTAACTGCTTTTCTAATAATTTTCACAAGGTTTACTTGTCTTGTGTTCACAACTCTTAGCCTCAGTCTGTCACAGCTCCAATCATGGTAGGCATTTGAGGAGTAAACAACTAGATGGGAACACCCCTGTCTTGAATCTATCTCTGTCTCATCCTCTCTTTCTTTCTACCTTTCAAACAAGGGAAAAATTAATCAAATAGTCATAACTGACAAAGGCTCCCCGGACACTTGCAGGGAACGATGTATGGACCCAGATCTTCTGCTTCCTTCAGCACTGGGCTGCTCACAGGAAGCCAGTGAGATTCCTCTAGTTAGACAGTGACAAGACCACAGTTGAGAGTCCCCAAGACACACATGTTAATAAAACGCAGACAAAATCCATGGACCCAGCCACATGCATGGAGAATGAACTCAGAGGCTGCTGACTCAGAGCTCTCTGGTTTTTCTTCATTTAAAAAATTATGTATTTGGGGTCCCAGCGCGATAGCACAGTGGTTAAAGTCCTTGCCTTGCGCGTGCCCCAGGATCCCATATGGTCTCCGGTCCTAATCCCAGCAGCCCCGCTTCACATCCAGCTCCATGCTTGTGGACTGGGAAAGCAGTCAAGCATGGCCCAAAGCCTTGCGACCTTGCACCTGCGTGGGAGACCTGGAGGAGGCTCCTGGCTTCGAATTGGCTGAGCTTCAGCCATTGCGCTCACTTTGGGAGTGAACCATCGGACAGAAGATCTTCCTCTCTGTCTCTCCTCCTCTCTGTATATCTGCCTTTCCAATAAAAATAAGTAAAGCTCTTTTAAAAATGATTTAGTTGAAAGAGATCATTTCTCAGCCTTTTGGCTAAGATCAAGAGAAAGAGTTGAGAGCAGGGAGAGAAGCAGAAAACTTCTATCCGCTGGTTCATTCCTCAGATGGCCAGAGTGGCCAGCACTGTGCCTGGCCAGAACGAAGAGCTCTTTCCAAACCTCCCATGTGGAGAGCAGGAACACAAACACTCAGACCCTGCATTTCTCAAATGGATTATTAGGAAGCTGGATTGGAAGTAGAGCAGCCAGTGTTCAAACCCTTGCTCAAATGCTGGCATTGTAGGTGGTAGTTTAACACACTGTGACACAGTAGCAGTTTCAACCTGTCCTTCATTTGATCCACCCAGAGTATTTTTTTTTTAAAGATTTATTTTTATTATTTTTTTCATTGGAAAGGCGGATATACAGAGAGGAGAGACAGAGAGGAAGGTCTTCCGTCCGATGATTCACTCCCCAAGTGAGCGCAACGGGCCGATACTATGCCGATCCGAAGCCAGGAGCCTCTTCCGGGTCTTCCACGCGGGTGCAGGGTCCCAAAGCTTTGGGCCGTCCTCAACTGCTTTCCCAGGCCACAGGCAGGGAGCTGGAAGGGAAGCGGGGCTGCCGGGATTAGAACCGGCGCCCATATGGGATCCCGGGCGTGCAAGGCGAGGACCTTTAACCACTTGCGCCACCGCGCCGGGCCCGATCCACCCAGAGTATTAAGCTGCTTCTAGTACCCTGAAAGCATCACACTAGCCATTGCTTCCTGTTTTGGGCCACTCTGTCTCACCTAGGCTATCTGAGAAAGTGCTTTTAAAAGTCCATCAGGGGCCCGGCGGTGTGGTCTAGCGGCTAAAGTCCTCGCCTTGAACACGCCAGGATCCCATATGGCCGCTGGTTCTAATCCCGGCAGCTCCACTTCCCATCCAGCTCCCTGCTTGTGGCCTGGGAAAGCAGTCGAGGATGGCCCAAAGCCCTGGGACCCTGCACCCATGTGGGAGACCTGGAAGAAATTCATGGATCCTGGCTTCGGATCGGCATAGCATCGGCTGTTGCGCCTACTTGGGGAGTGAATCATCAGATGGAAGATCTTCCTCTCTGTATCTCCTCCTCCTCTCTGTATATCCGACTTTCCAATAAATAAATAAATCTTAAAAAAAATAATAAAATAAAAAATATAAAAGTCCATCACGCCACCTTTGTCGTCAATTCTTCCTCCCTGATTTTCCTCTGATAATATTACACATTCTGTCCTCTCTACCTTGGCATGAGAATGAGTGATTCAGTCAGACATTCCACATCAAACACTGTTCCTGGCATGGGGGCTAAAGCTAGGAGGCAAAGTCAACTGCCACCCTCTAGGGCAGGGCTAGTTCCCACCTGCTGCAGAAAAGAATGTTTGTCAGCAAGTCACACGTGTGGGAAGAGGGGAGCGTGTCAGGGTGCCTAAAGTCAGCTTGCACTTTGGAATCCAGGTTTCTCTGTGGATGGTCATGTGGCAGAGCAGTCGTGAGAGCCAGTTCTCAAGCAGAACAGGATGACACCTGGACTGCATCTTGCAGTGATTATGAGCCACATGGAGAGAGCACTTAGATTATGCTGGCTGTAGGACCCAGCCCTGGAATGTCAGCTTTCAGATCACTTAGCTTCCCAGGTTATGTACCCCCAGGACTAGGGATCCTGACATTCCCACAGCAACCAGTCGGTAGCAGCTGTATTTGTGGTGTCATCTCCTTAGATTGGCTCCAAGAGCCGAAGACATTGAGGGAGCCAAAACAGGAAGTGAAGGGCAGGGATGGGTGCTGTGAATAGGAAAGATTGGCAGCCTGGTCCTTTAGGCTGTGGAAAGGCTTCTGGGCCCTCACCCAAAAGCAGGGACAAGAGAAGGATCTGGGTCCAGCACGGTGGCCTAGCAGCTAAAGTCCTCGCCTTGAACGCACCAGGATCCCACATGGGTGCCAGTTCTAATCTTGGCAGCCCTACTTCCCATCCAACTCCCTGCTTGTGGCCTGGGAAAGCAGTCAAGGACGCCCAAAGCCTTGGGATCCTGCACCCGTGTGGGAGACCTGGCTCCTGGCTTCGGATTGGTATAGCACCAGCCATTGTGGCCAGTTGGAGAGTAAATCATTGGACAGAAGATTTTCCTCTCTGTCTCTTCTCCTGTCTGTATATCTGACTTTCTAATAAAAATAAATGAATCTTAAAAAAAAAAAAAGAGTAGCATCTGCAGGCTGCCAATAAGAACCTCCTAGAGACTTCTGAGTTATACCTGTCTTGGGACACACTTTTTGTTGTTGTTGTTGGTCCCAGTACTTGCCTCAAAGCCTCATAGTAATTGCTCATAAAATACTGTGAGAAAAAAGAAAATCTATGGTGTATTTTCACTTAAGAACAAAATAGAAACTTCGCCGAATGCAATCACGATACTAGGCCTTAGTGGTGCCATGTAGGATAAAGGATTGCAAATAAACCCAACGTAGGTCAGCTGCTGAGTCTGCACTGTAAACCCCATGCCAAGTGTTCATCTTTGTAACCTTCAGCAGTTGTACAATCTGTAAGTATCAAATGCCTGATACACAGCATCATCAGGTCCTGGAATCCTCAGTGTTACCCCAGCGTCATCCCCCTCATGTCCTGTCCTAGATCTAGCCAACAACACTCTTCTCTATTCTCCCATTTTAGACAATGATGCTGAGTTTAGATCATACCTCGCAAGTTTCTCCGCCAAAGAGGAACTCGGAGAAAGGGACTTTGGCATGGCAGGGATCAAAAGGAACCAAGTGTTTGTGAGAGATGCCTTTCTCCACCTGCTGGCCACTACTTTTGAGTCCAGATAGCAACAACTGCCTCTTCATGCTTCCAAGTCCATCCTTTGGCAGGTAGGTGGTCTCAAGCGGGCATATTTCCAACAGTATCATGAAAGTTAGTAGAGGAGTCAGGGGAATAGTACTTGTATGTGCACATGCTTTACATGGGTTAATCTCTTTCTAGTATGGCCAGGAACCAAAAAGGGGTACTATGTTGTGCAGTACCCCGGCCCCTCAGGTTCCAGCAGTATGTACAAGGAAGCACCCAGACAAATTCCGTGGCAGTTAAGACAGTGAACTGGCCACCAAGATGGAGAGCAACGAGAATTTAGTCCTGACATTTTATAACCCTAATGTTCCCAAAGTCAAGGGGAACAGGAAGTACCAAAGGGTGAGCAGGCTCCTAAATGGAGGCCAGGTGGGAGGATGAGGACTTAGATAAAGGCAGGGCTGGACAGAGCATCCTAAAGGCAGAGAAAGTCGCATCCCCTGCCCCCGACACTCTGTAGGAAAAGATGTGCACAGATGAACCCCACATGGGAGCACTTGAGGTGGAGAAGAGGAGAAGGCCCTGGGATTTCGGGGCTATCTTCCAGAGTGGGCAATATCTCCCTCCTCCTTGTAGCCTACTCTCCCCACCAACAAACACCCGAGTGCCTCAATGCCTCTCCGGAGGCGACAGCAGCACGTGAGTCAGACACACACCTACCTCCGGATGTTCTGTGGCAGCCTCTCGGGCTTCAGCCTCTTCTTGACCCTCTGCATGAGCCCCCTGAGCTGGGTGCAGTTGCTGGTGATCAAAGATGGTACGGAGCTCTACGCGGGACTCTGGACCCTGTGCAGCCACGAGTTGTGCTGGACTCACACACCCAAGCCGCCCTGTGAGTGTCACAAAATGACACGCTGTGTAACGCATACACCAGTCTCCTTTCTTCCTCCATGTCTCTCGGCTTTCACCTCTGCAGGTCCAGGATGGGGCTCAGCTGAGGGTGAACCATGTTGTCTTTAGTATTCTCTTGTTCCATCCTGTCCCAGGGTATTTCATGGTCCAGCCCATGGGTTGATGGCTCTTTTTGTGCCTTGTGTCAAAGGAGGTATTTCTGTGCAGCTGTGTGGTTGGGGTGTGAAGATGCTTTGCAGAAATGGGAGGGAAGAGACAGATCTTGACTGAGAGACAAAGCTAGGTGTCCAGGCCTCCATCAGATCTGTTCTTCTGGGTTCGCGTGTTCTGCTAGCAATAGTTGGGGATCCGGTGTTCCACGGCCTCAGCCCTATTGAGTCAATTGTGTCAAGTTTTGTGTGACTTTAAATAAGTCTGTGGGTACAATGCAAAACATTTTAGAAAATGTTTTTAAATATTTAAGAAGATTTATTTATTTTTATTGCAAAGGCAGATTTACATAGAGAGGGACGGAGAGAAAGATCTTCTATCCCCTGGTTCATTTCCCAAATGGCCACAATGGTCAAAGCTGATCCAAAGCTGGATGCCAAGAGCTTCCGTCAGGTCTCACATGCAGGTGCAGGGTCCCAAAGCTTTGGGCCGTCCTCAACTGCTTTCCCAGGCCACAAGCAGGGAGCTGGATGGGAAGTAGAGAAAATGGGACATGAACCGGTGCCAATATGGGATCCTGGTGCATGCAAGGCAAGGACTTTAGCCAATAGGCTAGCATGCTGGGCCCCACATTTTTATCTTTGAACATTCGTTTATATTTGAAAGACACATACACAGAGAGAGAGAGAGTGAGAGAGAGAGAGACCATTTATCAATTGATTGCTTCCTCAAATCGCCTCAATGGTCAGGGCTGGGTCAGGCTGAAGCTAGGAGCCTGGAACTGCATTTGGGTTTTCCACGTGGGCAGTTGGAAACCTAAGCACTTTGTTCATCTCCCGTTGCCTTCCCAGGTGTGTTAGCAGGGAGCAGGCTTGGAAGTGGAATAGCAGGATGCAAATCGACACTCATGCTGAATGCCGGCAGCACAGGTGGTAACTGTTATCACATGGCTGAACCCAGAATACATTCTGGGGGCCAGAAGATTTCCTAGTAAAGACTTGGAAGACATATCCGTACCAGTAGTATTCCAGTCACCTGCAAGATAAACAGGTGTAGTGGAAGAAAACTTCAGGAGCAAAGCATTTTCTGCCTTTCTCAGAAGAGCAGGGAGCAGCTTTCCAGGTCCCATAGTAGCACATTGCTGTTGCATTTACCATTAAGGCAGGATCCTGTGAAGCAGCCTTCTGGGGGAGAGCCCAGACCAAAGGCAGGTAGATGGTCCAAATGCACCGTCAAGAACCCAGAAAAAGCAGGGTGTGTATTTGCACCAGTTATAAAAGAGAAACATTGATAAAGGCTGATAAAATTTCAACTATCAAACGGATTTCAAAATGGTGGGTTTTGTTTATACAAGCATCCTGGGGGGCTACCACAATGGCTCATTGGCTAATTTTCTGACTGCAAGCACTGACATCTCATATGGGCTCCGGTGAATGTCCCAGATGTTTCACTTCTTAACCAGCTCCCTGCTTATACAGCCAGGAAAAGCAGTAGAGAATGGCTCAAAGTCCTTGGGACCCTGCACCCGTGTGGAAGACCTGGAAGAAGCCCCAGCTCCCAGCTTCGGATATGCTCTGCTGTAGGCATTGCGGCCATTTGATGAACAAATTAACAGATGGAAGATCTTTCTCTGTTTCGTTTCTCCTCTCTCTAAAAATCTACCTTTCTAAATAAAAATAAATAAATCTTTTTTTTTAAAGAGCAGTTTTATTATACATGACCAGAAATTTAAGAATGTTCATCTCTACTTTGTGTAACAAAATATTAATTTATTTATGAAAGGTAAAATTACAAAGACAGAGAGTAAGAGATTCCCCATCCACTGGTTCACTCTCAAATGACTGCAATGACCAGGGTTGGGCCAGGCTAAAGCCAGTAGGTTGAAATCCATCCTATGGCTGGCAAGAGTCCCAGCACTTGGGTCATCTTTTGCTGTCTTCTTATCCACATTTGCAAGGGACTTGGTCCCTGTGGGTTGACCATGTCACGAATAGCAGCTAAGCACACTGTACCACAGTGCCAACCCCTCTTCAGATCTTTGGATTCAGTATTTCTACATGTAGAAATTAATGTTAAGGAAATAACTACAGATGGCACGCACAGATTAAGCTGCAGTTACATTTATACAACTGGGTTTCCAGGCTAAAACTCAAGCTTTAAGATTATTGTTTAATAGATTCACATCTTGAAATGTTGTCACAGATTAAACATTGATTTCTTGAAGGCCTGAATTCATTTTTAAACTACATTGCTCATCCTTTAGAGAATGATCACTCAGCATCCAATCAGGTACCGGCGCGATAATGTAGCGGTTAGAATCCTCCCCTTGAATGCGCCAGGATCCTGTATGTGTGTCGGTTGGTTCTAATCCCAGCAGCCCTGCTTCCCATCCAGCTCCCTGCCTGTGGCCTGGGAAAGCAGTCGAGGACGGCCCAAAGCCTTGGGACCCTGCACCTGCGTGGGAGACCTGGAAGGGGCTCCTGGCTTTGGGTTGGCTCAGCTCTAGCCATGGCGGCCTCTTTGGGAGTAAATCATCAGATGGAAGATCTTCCTCACAGTGTCTCCTCCTCTCTGTACATCTGCCTTTCCAATAAAAATAAATAGATTTTTTTTGAAAGAACCTGCTCTTGAGGATGCGTAGTTAACATAGCAGTGAAGCCACTGATTGTGACACTTGCAACCTGTACCAAGGTGGCTGAGGGATATATCAGCTTTGCTTCCATTTCCAGCATCCTCTTAATTCATTTTTTGGGGGCAGGGGTATCAAGGGATGGCTCAAGTAGTTGAGATCCTGTGTCACTCACGTGGGAGACCAGGATGGAGGTCCCAGCTCCTTAGCTTCAGCCTGGCTCAGTTTTGGCCACTGCAGGCATTTGGGGACATGAACAAGGTAATGAGCACTCTGTCTCTCTTCCTGTGAAATTAAATAAATAAATAAATTCCATATATTTTTGTTTTTAAATTTTTTTGATGATGATTATGTAGTTGAGATGATTATGTATTTGCTGTCATGGCCTTGCGGACCACTGATTAGTGTTAGTAAGGACTGAGGAAGAGGGGAAGGTGGATGAGACCATTGTTTTCAATTTTCTTTGTTATTTTTTTTTTAATTTTTTTTCTTGGAAAGTCAGATTTACAGAGAGAGATTTTCCATCCACTGGTTCACTCCCTAAGTGTTCGCAATGGCTGGAGCTAAGCTGATCTGAAGCCAGGAGCTAGAAGCTTTTTCTGGGTCTCCCACGCAGATGCAGGGTCCCAAGGTTTGTGTTGTTCTTGACTGCTTTCCAAGCCACAAACAGGGAGCTGGAAGGGAAGTGGGGCCGCTGGGATTAGAACTGGTGACCATGTGGAATCCTGGCACATGCAAGGCAAGGACTTTAGCTGCTAGGCTACCACGCAGGGTCCTCCAATTTTCTTTTTCTTCTTCCTGTATTTGGGAGATGGGGGGAAGAAAAAGGAAGAGAAGTCACACCCAGTCTCCCAACTGCATCAGTACCCAGGAATGGGGGATGATCACCTAATGTCAAACCAGGGTCTCTGATGTAGAGCATGCTCCCAGGGTACTGCTCTCAAGTGGTTTCAGTAGATCTGAAATGCTGTCGATGTAGCAGATCCAAGGATTAGGAAATCCTTCCAAGGTCCACTGGCTGGGACATAGTCCACCTTAGAGTCTCCATTTGCCCAGATATTTGCTGTCAATGCTTGGCTGAGGGAGTTGTCCAAATTGTGTACCCTCCATCCTCTGCTACGTTAACAAATGTCCTCTTCAATTAGTTTTGATCCTATAGGAGACTGTAGTACTCAGATTCTGATTTGGGAACGTTTGTATTTGGCTTCCATTTAGTTGCATGAAAAAAAAAAAAACTTCTGAAATTAACCAAATACGAGGTGTTTTAGAGTCTGAAGCTAGGTGTTTCATTTGATGAGGTAATTTGTTGTGTGTGGTTATATTGGTCTGTGCCTCTGTCTTAATTTGTTGCTGTGCACCTGTGAACCTCTTGCCCAGGTAGTTTTCAGGAGGTGCAGAGTGAAGAAAAAGAAGATTCAGGGAGTGCCAACATGAGGGTCTCCTGCTCAGAAGGAAAAAGAGAGGGGACTTGATGTTGTAGACCAGAATTGGGCAGACAGTGTCTTAGCTAGGGCTCCTTCCGCTTTCAAATACTAGAAGTGTTTCAGGATTTGTGGTAATCCCTTCAGCTCCTGAAGATGAGCAGTCTCCACTGGGCTCCCAGATGGGCACAACCAGGTCCACCAGCCTCAGCCCTGGAGCAGCCCTGTCTCTCTCTCTTGACCGCTCAGAGTTCCCTGTGGATTAGCGTGTGGGCACCCCCATGGTGAAATCTGTCTAGCTTTCTATTGTCTCCGTTCCAGCAAGGATGAAGGGAAAACTGGATTTCTGAGTGTATGAACCACACCAGGGTCAGGTTCCCTTTCAGGAGATGGGCTGCCCTGGCTTTGTTCTGTTCCGACACTGTTCACCTGTTGGGGCCACAGGGTATCTCATCCCTCAGTGCAGCTGTGCAGGTTCCCTGGACAGGGATTACTATTATTGATCGTATTGGTATTTGGCAGGTCATGGAGAATAACATGGAATGAAGGAGGCTGATCTTGGACTGGACTCAGCTAGATTCCTGTTGTCTTCACTCTGGGTCTCCTAGAAACTGAACTTGGATTCTTAGGCTGTGCTGTGCTTAAGGAGCTTCCAGAGGTGGGAATGAGCTGATCCGTGAGAAGAACCCCAAAAGGGATGCTGAAGACTCTGCTGGGTCTATGGTATCTCAGACAAGCTATATCCACTTGCAATTTTAAGCTCCTGTCCACTCCTTTAGTCATCAGTAAAACATTGAAAAGATTTCTTTATTTATTTGAAAGATGGTGTTATAGACGCATGTGAGAGAGAGCACAAGAGACGTGTTCCATTTTCTGGTTTATTCCCCAAATGGCCACAAGAGCTAAAGTTGGGTCACATGGGAGCCTGGGACTCCATCTGATACTTCCACATGGGCAGCAGGGGCCTAAACCCCTGGGTCCTCTTTCCACTGTCTGCCAAAGCAACTTTAGCAGGGAACTGGATCCGTAGGGGAGCAGATAGGAACTCAAATTTGCACTTCAGTGTGGATTGCCAGCATCACAACTTGGGGAGCTTAAACAATTGTGCCAACACAGCAGCCCTAACTTCAGTAAAATATTGAAGGGAGGTTAAGGGAAGGGCCCATTTTATGTCAGGAATACAGCAGCAAAAATTATGCCACCATTGCTTCCCCCCACTGCTTCATCGCCGCTCAGCAACAGCTGGGCCAAAGGAGCAATGCTGAACCCCAAAGAGAGTTGGGGAGCTAGAATTGGGGATCTTTTAAACACAAATGTGAGCTGGACCTGGAGCAACTCTTCCAGAGGGCGGGGAGGGAGAGAGATGGAGGGGGTGGTAATGAGAGATCTTTTTGGAGCGTTCTGTTCCTACAATGTGGCCAACAGGGACTGGAAACCAGTGCACTGTAGCAGTTGAAGTAAAGGTGATGTCATTTGTTCAGTCACAGTGATTGGATCCTGTGCATGTGAGGTACTTCTGTAACGTGAAACACAAATAGACACAAGTCCGAGTCCAACCACGAGTAAATGATTAAGGGGAATATTTAATAGGAGAGACTATGATTTTTTTTTTACAAGTGTCTGGGGAATTTCAAGGGGCAAAAAAATCCACATGCCATCTAGTATTATGTTCACTATGTTTAGAAGGGTAAAAAATTATGAGAAATAAACAAGAGAATGCCAGTGATATTCGCCTTGAAGTAGTGGGGTTGTAGCTTAGTGTCTTTCCACCTCTTTGTATGCTTTACTTTTAGAATTAGAAGCAATAGTTAAAAAAAAAAAAAGAAAAGAAAAAGAAAAGAAAAGATTGACAGGGGTCAGTGCAGTGACTCAACAGGTTAATCTTCCACTTGCAAATGCCAACACCCCCATATGGGTGTCGGTTCATGCCCTGGCTACTCCACTTTTGATCCAGCTCCCTGCTTATGGCCTTGGAAAGCAGTAGAAGATGGCCCAAAGCCATGGGACCCTGCAACCATGTGGGAGATCCAGAAGAAGCTCCTGGTTCCTGGCTTTGGATCAGGTCAGCTCCAGACATTGCAGCCACTTGGCAAGAGAGCCAGCGGATGAAAAATCTTTCTCTTTGACTCTTCTTCTCTCTGTAAATCTACCTTTCCAATAAAAATAAAATAAATCTCAAATAAAAATATAAATAAATAGTTTTAAAATCTATACATTTATTTGAAAGTCAGAATTACAGAGAGGAGAAAGTGACAGATAAATCTTTTTTTTTTTAAGATTTATTTATTTATTTTTTGGAAAGTCAGATATACACAGAGGAGGAGAGACAGAGAGGAAGATCTTCCGTCCAATGATTCACTCCTTAACAGCTGAAATGGCTGGAGCTGAGCCAATCCGAAGCCAGGAGCCTGGAGCCTCTTCTGGGTCTCCCACATGGATGCAGCTTTCCAAAGCTTTGGGCTGACCTCGACTGCTTTCCCAGGCCACAAACAGGGAGCTGAATGGGAAGTCAGGCCACCGGGATTAGAATTTTGGCATTCATATGGGATCCCAGTGAATGCAAGGCGAGGACTTTAGCCGCAGAGCTACCACATCGGGCCCAAGAGAGATCAATCTTGTATCACCCCCTGATGGTCGCAACAACTAGAACTACACTCATCCAAAGTCAGGAACCAGGAGCTTCTTCCAGGTCTCCCATGTGGGCGCAAGGATCCAAGGATTTGGTCCGTCTTTGTTATTTTCCAGGATCGTGATTGTGGAACTGGATTGGAAGTAGAGCAGCCGAACACAAACCAATGCCCATATAGGATGCTGGCATTTCAGGTGGTGGCTTACTTATCCTCTCATATAGTTTTATGTTGGCCATTCCTCTGATAAGCTGGTTCACACCTAAGTTGGAGGTCAGGGATAGTTTTTGAGGGCCTAGAGTTTAACAATGAAGAATTTGCCAAGTTCTTGTTTGTGTCCAGAGGCTGTGCGGCCAGCTGGGCTTTCTCCTTCTCTGACACCATGTAACTTTGTTAAGGGAGGCTCTTCCCTGAGTGAAAGGAGCCTTTGCTTTCTTCCTTCTGCAGATTACCTCCAATTTTCCAGGGCTGCCTTCATCCTCTCCATCCTCACCATACTTGTTGGCCTTGGCTGGCTCTTATTCTCTTGCCTCCCCAGAAGAGGAAGTGTGGTCGCCAACTTGGATCTGAAGGTATCCATGCTCAGCTTCAGCTCAGGTACAGATCTAGACCGGCGGGATGACATCAGGTAAAATAGCCACAGTGATGGGTTTCGTCTGAGGAGCTTCCAAGCTCTCCTCCTTGCCTCTGCTTTTTCACCCCCGACTCACATCGTCAGCTGTGACTGTATACAACACACCTTAGCTGAATCATATAATACTGGAGCCTCCAACACACATGCTTTCTGTCCTTCATCTGGGTGAATCCCCAAATTCTCCTTTTATCCCAGCCACATGTATGGGTTCTGCGGGTTTCTGCAGAGCTAGGGGCATGAATGGTTACTGACAGCTTTCCCTCTCGCCCCAGCCTCCTGCTTGCTCATATGCCTCAGCCTGTTCCTGGAACATGTGAACTGGCATTGCAAAGATGTCATGGAGTCAGATTTCCTATGGACTTATTATCTGAACTGGTGGAGTGACTTCTTATACACATTTGCTGGTGAGTCGGTCCCTTGCCCTATGCTAGGAGGATGGAAGGGAAAATGGCTTCTGAAAAGGGAAGTAGAATCCAGGAGACTTGGAAGTTCTGGCTGCCCCTTAAGAACATTCGTACCTGGAGAGATGCTATGGCATGGACGAGGAGACATGGGTTTTATGTTCTGGGAACCTAAAGTTAGTAACATGTTTTACTACTCAAATGAGGTGTGAGAAGAATGAATAACAGAGAAAATAGTAGTACCTTGCTTGAATGCAGTAAGTTCAAATGTTATTTTTTAAATATTTATTTTTGGGCCCGGTGGCGTGGCCTAGTGGCTAAAGTCCTGAACTTGACCGCACCAGGATCCCATATGGGCACCGGTTCTAATCTTGGCAGCTCCACTTCCCATCCAGCTCCCTGCTAGTGGCCTGGGAAAGCAGTCGAGGACAGCCCAAAGCTTTGGGACCCTGTACCCGTGTGGGAGACCTGGAAGAGGTTCCTGGTTCCCGGCTTCATACTGGTGCAGTAGCGGCCGTTGCACTCAGTTGGGGAGTGAATCATCGGACAGAAGATCTTCCTCTTTGTCTCTCCTCCTCTCTGTATATCTGACTTTGTAATAAAAATAAATCTTTAAAAAAATTTATTTTATTTTACTTGAAAATTGGAGTTTCGGAGAGGGAGAGACAGAGAGCAATATTTTTCCATCTACTGGTTCACTCCTCAGTTGATCACAGCAGCCAGAGCTGGGCCAGTATAAAGAGGGGAGCCAGAAACATCTTGTTGGTTTCCCACAGGAATTCAGAAGCCCAGGCACGTGGCCTATGCACTGCTGCTTTCCTAGGCCATAAGCAGGGAGCTGGATTGGAAATGAAGCAGCTGTGACTAGAACCAGAACCTGTATGGGTTGTTGGTGTTGCAGGCTGAGGATTAACTAGGCCACTGCACCAGCTCCTCAAATGTTCTTCTAAACAGCCAGGGAAATTTGAAGCCTCAAGAAGAACACTGTAAGTGAACTTGGTTCTGCTGGTGTGAAAGTATGTTCATTGCTACGAGGCCTTCAGCCTTGGTATGAAATGATGACTAAGCTGGTGTGGCATAGGGGTTATACCACTGCCTGGGACACTGGCCTGCCATATGAGCACTGGTTTGGCTTGAGTCCTGGCTGCCCCTCTTCCCATCTAGCTCCCTGCTAATGCGCCTGAGAAAGCAGCGGGAGATGGCCCAAGAGCTTGAAGCACTGCCACCCAGAAAGAGTTCTAGGACCTGGGCCTTGATTTATCCCAGCTGTAGCCACTGCGGCCATTTGGAGAGAAAACCAACAGAACTCTCTGATTATCCCCCTCCCATCCCTGTAACTGCCTTGAAAATGTTTTTTTTTTTTTAATCCTAAATAAATATAAATAAATAGAGGATGATTAAGAACGGTAAAAGCCAGACAATCATCTGTATGTTGACATTTCTCCTCTCCTAGGCATCATCGGTTTCCTCAACTACATTTCTATCATGTCTCTTCCCTCGGACCAAAAGGCCTCCATGCCTCACCCCGTGGAGAAGTCCCGCCTGGGGATTGGTCCTGCGATGACAGAGGTGCCTGATGATGCCAAGGAGTCAGGATCTTCTATAGAAGCTAAAGATGAAACTTGAACCAGTGATGAAGCCCAGGATGGTGGGCAAGCACAGCAACACCTCTCTGCTGAGCCTCTTACAAAAAGCGGGAGTCACAGAATCCAGGATGGTGCAAGTTCTAGAAAACCTTTCCAACATCCTGTCCACATCATTAAAGCTGGTGAAATGTCTTTTGTGGCGTGTTCAACCTAAAATGTGTATGATGGTCATCAGAAAACCTGTCAAAATTCACTGAAGAAAAACATTCCTGGAAGAAGTTAGGGTCGCGAGTAAGAGACGGTAGGAATAGAAGCAGTGATGTATGGAGCTGAGGGATGCCGGGACGACAGGGGGTAGAAAGCCATTGATGTGGTCAGGATGCAAGGCACTAGGACTCTCTGCTGAATCTGTATGGGAGACCATTCCCAGAAGTAAGATAAATGGCAATGGACATAATCTCTCCCGCCGCAGAGAGCTGTGGACTCGAGGGTATCCATGAGGCCCTGTCTCCTGGAAACAGTTAGAGTCTATTACTTTCCCTGTATGTCATTCTTTTTTTTTTTTTTTTAAGACGTATCTATTTTTATTTGAATGGCAGATTTTACAAAGAGCAAGATCTTCCATCCTCTGGTTCGCTTCCCAAATGGCCACAATGGCTAGAGCTGAGATGATCCTAAGCTGGCAGTTTGGAGCTTCTTCCCAGTTTTCCACATGGGTGCAGGGGTCTGAGGAGTTGGGCCATCCTCTGTTGCTTTTCCAGGCCCTAAGCAGGGAGCTGGATCAGAAGTGGAGCAGCCAGGACACAAACTGACATCCATATGGGATGCCGGCACTACAAACAGAAGACCAGCTTTCTCTACCATCGAGTCAGCACCCCCTCTGCCCTTCAGATGCCATATTTAAATATTCACTTTGGGGGCCTAGTGTAATAGCTCAGTAGCTAAATCCTCATCTTGCATTTTCAGGATCCTATGCGGATACTTGTTTATATCCCAGCTTCTTCACTTCCCATCCAGCTCCCTGCTTGTGGCCTGGGATATCGCTGGAGGATGACCCAAAGCCTTGGAACCCAGTACCCACATGGAAGATCCAGAGGTGGCTCCTGGCTCCTGGCTTTGGATTGGCTCAGTTCCAGCCATCGCAGCCACTTGGGGAATGAACCAGTGAACACAAGATCTTTCTATCTCTGTTTCTCTCTGTAAATTTGACTTTCTAACAAAAAATAAATCTTAATAAAATACATATATTTTGAGTGACTGAGAAATGGAGAGGCAGTAGCAGATCCTATGCAGTGCCCACAGCAGCCTGAGCTGGATACAGACTGAACTCCATCTGAGTCTCCCACGTGGATGGCAGGGGCCCCATCAATCAAGGCTTCCCTGCTGCCTGCCAGGAAGCACATTAGAGGGAAGCTGGGGTCAGGGGCTGGAGTGGAGACTTGAACATTGTCTTTCGGTGTGGGATGCTAGCATCTTCACCATCAGGCCAAATGCATATTGTGACTCTTGATTCCTTAAGCATTAGTTATGTTTCACTGAGCCAGAGGGGACGAAAGGCCTTCTAAAGCATATGTAAGAATTAGAGAAATATCATCAACTTTTGGGTGTGTGCAGCTGTTTGTGAATACACACACACACACTCACACTTGCATCTTTTTTTGTCCTGCCTTAGAAAATTCATCCCTTGGGGCAGGCATTTGGCACAGCTGTTTAGGTATCACTTGGATATGCCCACAGCCCATATCCAGCATATCCTGGGGTTGGTTCCCATCTCCCGTTCTGATTCCAACTTACCTTTGGGGAGGGGGACAGCAAGTGATGGCTGCAGTACTTGGATCCCTGCCATCCCCGTTGGAGGTTCAGATTGACTTCCAGGGTATAGATTTCATGCATTTGTGAAATAAACAAGCAGATGGGAGTTCTCTCTCTCCCTATTTCCCTGCTTCTCTTTGAAGTAATACAAAAATCAATCAAGAAAAAAGGGAGGGCCCGGTGGCGTGGCCTAGTGGATAAAGTCCTCGCCTTGAACGCAACGGGATCCCATATGGGCACCAGTTCTAATCCTGGCGACCCCACTTCCCATCCAGCTCCCTGCTTGTGGCCTGGGAAAGCAGTCAAGCATGGCCCAAAGCCTTGGGACCCTGCACCCATGTGGGAGACCTGGAAGAAATTCCTGGTTCCTGGCTCCAGATTGGCATAGCATCGGCTGTTGCAGTCACCTGGGGAGTGAATCACCGGATGGAAGATCTTCCTCTCTGTCTCTCCTCCTCTCTGTATATCTGACTTTGTAATAAAAATATAAATAAATCTTAAAAAAAAAAGAAAGAAAAAGAAAGCCATCTTTTCTGTACTGGCAGGCGATTTGCAAAGTCTTGGTTCACCTCCTTTCAGATGTTGCTCTGCCACTAACAGGGCTGTCTGCAGCGCCCACTGCTCCTCTCTGAGGCCTCTCTGCACCAACTCCATTCTAGACATTGGCTAGCGAAGCATTTACTGGTTTCACAATCAGGACACTTTGGTTTGCACACCCCAATCACATGACTCAAGTGAAAAGTTGCCAAACACTGGTGACCTAAGGGGGATTTTTTTTAAAAAAAAGATTTATTTATTTATTGGAAAGTCAGATATACAGAGAGGAGGAGAGACAGAGAGGAAGATCTTCCATCCGGTGATTCACTCCCCAAGTGAGTGCAACGGCCGATGCTATGCCAATCTGAAGCCAGGAGCCAGGAACTTCTTCCAGGTCTCCCATGCGGGTGCAGGGTCCCAAGGCTTTGGGCCATGCTTGACTGCTTTCCCAGGCCACAAGCAGGGAGCTGGATGGGAAGTGGAGCTGCCGGGATTAGAACCGGCGCCTATATGGGATCCTGGCGCGTTCAAGGCGAGGACTTTAGCCGCTAGACCACGCTGCTGGGCCCTGGGATTTTTTGTTTTAAAGATTTATTTTTATTGGAAAGTCAGATATACAGAGAGGAGACAAGACAGAAAGGAAGATCTTCTGCCCAATGGTTCACTCCCCAGGTGACTGCAACGGCTGGTGCTGAGCCAATCCGGAGCCAGGAACCAGGAATTTCTTCCAGGTCTCCCACATGGGTGCAGGGTCCCAAGGCTTTGGGCCATGCTTGACTGCTTTCCCAGGCCTCAAGCAGGGAGCTGGATGGGAAGTGGGGTCGCCAGGATTAGAACTGGTGCCCATATGGGATCCCGTTGCGTTCAAGGTGAGGACTTTAGCTGCTAGGCCACCGTGCCCGGGCCCTACCTAAGGGGGATCTTTAGTGCAGGGAGAAGGCAGCAGGCTGAGGTCCAGAAGCTGGAAAGCATGAAGGCAGGAGATGCTATTGGGACAGAAGAGGCTGCAGTGTAACAGATGTAGCTGTATACAGAGACAACCTCTTCTAACCCTGTGTAGCCACTCCCGTGATCATGAAATGATACTGCAGGATGGATTTAATTTACATTTCTTTGATGACTAATGCTCTGAAACCCCCTTTTCACAGCCCTTTGCATATCTTCCATTGTAAGTGTCTAATTTTTCTTCTCATTTTGATCATGACATCTTATTATTAGTTCTAGCAATTTTTTTTTTATATTTTGCAGACAAGTTGTTAGGCATGTTTTGCATTTATGGTTTGCATATTCATGTTCTTTATGGTGCCTCTTGATGACCAGGAATATTAAACATTCACCACATAAGTTTCTAGTTGTACTCATTGACTACTGTAGATCTGCCTGGTGGGGCCAGTTCATCATGGAAAATTTGTAGAGGCTCTGGGCACAGGAATTTCCTGGGAGCCATTGGCAGCTTTGGTTTCTTTCATGAACTCTGGGGTCTAGGGACTCAAGCTGGGGGTTGTCAGATGTCAGAGTGCACCTGAGATTATGCATGTGCTCAGTCCCAAGGGCAGGTAGGGAGCAGAAAGGGAAAGGCCCCAGGTTCGTGTGGTGTGCCCATGGGTCATGCTTGTGGTCTGGTGCATGCACTTGTGTCCCAGGCAAGCAGCGCGGTAAAGTCCCAGACCTGCACTCATGCCAGAGGACCAGGTCTGGGAACCTGTCTATGATCTTGGATCTCTGGTGGGCAGGCAGAGCTTCAGCCCAGCATGCCACCCCACCGGAAGACTGAGCTTGGGAAGACTGGCCTGGGAACCATAGATTGATCATAGGGATTGTATATTGAACAGGGTAGAGGCTATGGGGATGTGTGGGAGGACCACTGAGGAAGCATGTTACAGGTGAGGAATGACTTCTGGGGAATTTCCACCAATAAGGCCACTGTACTTGCAGGTAAGTGTGGGGGCTGAGACCAAGTGGTTTAGAAGGGGAAAGATGGAAGATGTTTCTGGACCAAACTGATGCACCTGCCCTAGTGGGAGATCTGAGTTGGGCTACTTAGCATCAACCACCACTGACCACCAACCACCAGTGCACACAAAAGCTAGGGCTGGGAGCCTACCTGGCAGAGCCAGATCACAGTACCCACAGTGAGTGTTGGAATAGGGTACTGGTCACGTTAGGCTGGGTCAGGATGCTAAGCATCACATGAGAGAATCATGTCTGGAGGTAAATTCTGTGGGGGGGATGTGTGGTCCAACTACTATGGACAGACTGAACAAGGCATGATCATGGAACCCTCTGGTACTCATGAGAGTCAGGGAGGATGTAGGATGGGCTGGACTAGGTCTCAGTTCCCACCAATTTATGTGAAAGCTGTGTCTGAGCATGGACCAGGTGTGACTGGGCTGTATCACCCAACAGAAAGAACTGGAATGGGTGTAGGCCACAACACCAGCCAATTTACATTAGGGCTGGGACTGGGGGTTGGCTGGGCTGGGCTAGGTTGCAGCACCCACCAGCATGAACTGGAACTAAGAGCAGACCTGGCTGGATCACAGGCTACAGCACCTGCCAGCAAGTGCTGAGGTGAGACAGGCCATGCAACATTGGGCTGCAGACTGGGACTGGAGGGAAACCAGACATGGCAGGGATACAATACCTGTTGGACTGCTTATAATCTGGGTTAGGGGGAGACCCAGGCTGGGC